CCGGGTGAGAGGCCCCGCCTTCATGCGCAGGACCAGCGGCTGCTGAGACCCTCCCCGTGCCGGCCCTGCCAGGGGGGCTGCAGAGGGGCTGGGAGGGGGAGGAAGAAGCTGCGACCCCCTCCCCAGCCCCACCGTGGCTATACACCTGCCCTGCCTGGCCCTGGCCACAGATATTCCCCCCTCCGCCACATCTGCCTTCCAGCTGGGAGATCAACCCAGTCCCAACCCAACCAGAGGATGGAGATTGAAATCTCCAGCTTGGCCCCACTGGGAACACTGACAAACCTCCCCCTCCCCATCTCTGCTTTAGCCAGGGCTGTGCTGGGCCAGCCTGGGTGGGCTGCAGGGCCACACACCCCCTACCCCCCCCAGGCAGTGCCCCAGAAGCAGCTTTGGGGGCATTGACTGATTTAAGGCCACTCACAGCCACGTTTTGCTGAGACATCCAGCAAAGCCTGCATGGACATGAGCCCCCAGCCCTGCACCCCCTCCCACTGCTAACACCACAAGCAAAGCACACCATGACCAAGGGCCTCCCACCCCTGGAAACCCCTGGGGGTCTTGGTAGCCACTCCCCTGTCCACAGACACCTTTTCATACCACTTGGAGCACATCCCTAGCTCACAGCCACCACCCCCATGCTGCAGAGCCTCCCTGAGGACCAGTCCAAACTGTTCCCCCTTCCCCAGACCCACAACCAGCCTTCTGCAAACTCCTTGGGCTGTTGCAAAGCAGTAAATAAAGACATGATGGTGGTTTTCTACACAGCCTGTGTGTGTTCCTGCCTCCCTCCCACCATCACCTTGCTGCAACAGCTGGAGCAAGGGGAAGCATCCAACACCCCTTGGAACATCTCAGTTTCAGGGGAGACGGGGAAAAGCCAATGCTGGGGCTTTTGATGCAGGGTGGGTAGAGGCAGGGATGGCTCTGCCCTTTGGCAGGGTCAGGAGGCTCCGTGGAGCTTCTCACTCCAGCTATTTGGCTGCCTCTCCTGCTCGAGGCCCTACAAACCCTGTCACCCTCTCAGGGAGGGATCTTAAGAGGTCTCAGGAGACAGTGTATCCTGGCACATCAGGGCACTGGCCCCACGGAGACCTTATAGCAGCTTTTCAATACCAGAATGGGACCTACAGGAAAGCTGAAGAGGGATTTTAAAAGGGCACATAGTGACAGAATCACAGAGAAGCACAGAATCATCAAAGCTGGAAAAGACCTTTAAGATCAAGACCAGCTTATGACCTAACACCACCACATTGGCTAGACCCTGGCACTAAGTGCCACATCCAGCCTTTCCTTGAACACATCCAGGGGTAACAGCTTTAAGATGAAAGAGGGGAGATGTAGGTAAGATATTAAGAAGAAATTCTTCATTATGAGGGTGGTGAGACACTGGAACAGGTTGCCCAGAGATGCTGTGGCTGCCCCATTCCTGGAAGTGTTGAAGGGCAGGTTGGATGGGGCTTGGAGCAACCTGGTCTAGTGGAAAGGTGTTCCTGCCCATGACAGGGGGGTTGGAACTAGAGGAGTTTAAGGTCCCTTCCAACCCAAACCATTCTAGGATTCTCTAATTCTGTCCTCCTTCCCTGCCACACTGACCATCATCAAAACCACCAGAACCCCTTAGAAGTGCCACATCCCCGTGCCCGAGAAGGGAGAAGAGGCCTTGTGTGTCTCATTAAATACAGGTAGAAATTTATTGAGGGGGAAAAAACACCCACAGCTTTTAAAAAAAGTATCAAAAAGAGATAAATGAGGTGAAGAGTCTGGTTTTGGTTGGAGCAGCAATCGGAGGGACAGAGCAGGGCTGAAAACTGGCCCGTGGTGGAGGGAGGGATGCAGAGAGGGATGTAGGTGCCACAGAGGTGCTGAGCTCCCAGCCCTTGAATACTCATCCCAGGACATCCCAGCTGGGGGATTCACACCATCCCCCAGCACTGAGACCCACCAGCACCAGAGCAACATGCACCAAAAGAGACAGAGCCTGGCACCAGCCCAGGTCCAAACCAGCCCAGTGGAGTCACCTGGACCCCAGGAAGGACCTGCCTTCATGCAGATGCCAGTGGGAGGGTGGAGGAGATGCTGGGAAGCAGCAGCCCAGGGCTGGGGCTGGTGGGGAAGAAGGCAATAGCCCCCATCCTGTGCTGCTCTGTCTGTCCAGCACCACTCGAGGTGGGGAGGGGTACCTGGGTCTCAACGCTTTGAAAAAGGGAAAGGGGTAACAGCAGGAACTCAAGGCAAGAAGTGAAAGGTGGGAGCACCGATGGTTTCCTGAAGAGGCTCTGGGCTTCAGCAGCAGCTACACAAGCTCCCCAGGGCATTTTTCTCCATACCCACCTCCCATCACAGCACTACGAAGATGGTAGATGCCACTCACCCACTTCCAAAAAGGGAATTTCACTGAAATAAGGGGAAAACAAGCCCCCCCCATGTCAAGTCCCTCTTCTCTGTTCACCGAGGAGCCCGATGGGGAAGAAGCAGCCTCCCTGTGTGACCCCAGGAGTACATCAGATGTGAGAGCAGGAGTGAAAAATACCTTTGAAGCTCAGCTCTGAACACCTGGGAGCCACGCAGAGGCCCCTGAAAGCCCAAAGCTGGGGAAGCCCTCAGGCCAAAGAGCTGCAGATAAAAAAAACCTGCCCCTGCAAAAGAGGGGGTTGTGTTCACAGTAGGAGCTGCAGCACCTGGGGGCACCGAGGGGGGACGGGGCCCCAGGAAGGCAGGGGCACAGGCAGGAGACATCAGCAGCTTCAGCCCCAGGGCCAGGAGCCCAACCCGGCCATGGACTCAGCAAAATCCCTCCTCCCCACACAAAACACCAGCTGGGTTCCTGGGTCGGTCCCCAAACCAGTTGTGGCTTTTAAGTGCCAAGAGGCAGCCCCAGAGGGGTGCAGGGCAGGGTGTCCCCAGCCCCGCTCCCCACTGCATGCCCAGCCTTTAATGGGGATGAGCCCAAACCCACCATCCCCAGAGATGAAACCACTCCTAGGGTCTGCCCCATCCCAGGGCAGCCACCTCCTGCAGGCTGGTGCAGACCCATCCCACGGGAGGTATCACCACCGCTGCCTCTCCCAGCCCTTCCCCACCGGTGGGGTCAGTGCAGGACCTGCTCCAGCTCGTACTTCTCGCAGAACTTGCTGGTGAAGGGCAGGCAGGTGAGATACTCCACCCAGCGCCAGTTGATGGGGTAGACGTAGAGCCAGACCACCAGGGAGGCAAAGAGCCCCACGAAGACCAGCAGGGAGACGATGATCATGGCTCGCTTGCGGTACTTGTCCACCGTGCCGAAGGTGATGTAGGGCAGGAAGGCGAAGGAGAGGAGGAGGCCGCTGAGGAAGCCGAAGAGGTGAGCGATGTTATCGATCCACGGCAAGAGGCCACAGATGAAGAGGAAGAGGACGATGCCGAAGAGGTTGAGGAAGGCTTTCCAGGGTTTTTCCAGTACTTGCCAGCTCTGGAAGAGCTCCACAAAGAGGCAGGCCAGCAAGCCGAACTGGGACCCAGCGGGGCCCACCTGCAGGGATGGAGGAAGTCATGGCTGGGACCTGTGCATGTCAGCCCAGACATGTCCCTGTGTCCCCAGGGACTGTCTCCTCCCCTTGCCAAATGCATTTGGCTCCTGGATCCCTCCAAGGGCTGTGCTGCCAAGGGACAGCCACAGTCAGGGTGGCACAGGGTGGGAGCCCTGGCATAGGAGGAGAAGGGGAGCAGGCTGGCAGTGTTTTGGCAGAGCCAGCATTTCAGGTGACTCAGCAGCCAGGCAGCATCACCCCTCCCAGGCCACAGCCCCCCCAGCCTCATGCAGCCCCGGAGGGATTAGGGTGCCCGGCGTGATCTTATTTAAAGCCCATCAGGGTTTTGCTGCCAGCAGATTAGCCATCTGCCCGCCCGGGGACCCTGCACACACACTGACACGTGGTGACGTGTGACCTAGGTGACATGTGTGAACCCCACACGTGGGGCAGAGACACTTCCCCCCTCCCCCAGCACGGGGACACCGGTCTCTCAGTCCCTCGCGGGGAAAACCTGCTGGGGACCAAGCACTCTGTACTGCAACCTGTAGCTGCCTCGCCAGACCTCAGGCTAGGGGCAGGGAGGGGTGTCCTGGGGGCCTGGCTAGGTGTGGGGTGTGTCCTGGGGGGCTGGCGAGGTGTGGGGTGATGTGGGCAGAGCCCACTCAGCACTCACCTCTGCCCGGCGGTTACGGCAGGAAGATGGCACTGGCCAGATTGCCCGTGATGCCACTGAGGATGAAAATGATGGAGATGCGATGCCAGCCTGCCAGCTTCTCCAGGTCCCTCAGAACTGTCATCTGGAAAGTCACCGACACCAGGCAGTGGATGATGCTGGGCAGAGAGACCCCGTGTTAGAGACCCCTGCCCCTCTGAAGCCCCCATCCAGCCCTCCCACCCACTGCCAGAAGGGCATGAGACATCTTACAAACACCCTCCAGTGACGGCATGTGCTGCTGTAGTCTAGAGGGGTCCCCTCTCTTCTTTTCCAACCCATCAGGGATGACAGAACATTCTGATGGGACACTCTGGTCCCAAGTCACCCCCATCACCCCCTGGGGAGGGGACACAGCTCACCCAGCATGCAGGAACAGGGACAGCCACAGGCGGTAGAACTGGTCAGGGACCTCTGGGTTGAGGAATGGCAGGAGGCCACAGACCTCGTCCAGGCAGTGCACCTGCAACAGCAGCAGGGGTTTGGGGGTGACAGGGGCTCAGACCACAACCCAGAGCCACAGGGGGCAAAGAGAGGCTCAGCAGGATGTGTGGCTGGTGATGCCACACATCAGCCAGGGGGGAACCCTGGGTGGTGCAGGACACCCGCATTGCTCAGTTGCTGGGCAGGGAGCAACCAAGCATCATACCCAGTGCCCCGGGAGATGCTGAAGGGCTGTTCTCCTGCTCGGGATGTGCCCTTCCCAAGGCCACCAGCACTGCCCAGCTGAGGCTGGCTCAAGCCCTGCCTCTCCTCCCACCCCACCCCAGCCAGGCAGGCAGGCGGCGGTGGCAGGAATCCCGCCAACACCTGGGAAAGCCCCTGCCCTTGGCATCCCCCCCCAGCTCACACCCATCCCAACTGCTTCCCATTCCCAGCCGGACACTAGAAAGCCCTCTGGCATCAGCAGGGCAACACGTGACCTGCCTGCCAGCTCGGTGGCCCCCGCTCACCTGCGAGCAGAGCGTTGCCTCCTCATGGAAGTATCCGTGCATGAACTCGCAGTATTCCCGGGTGGTGATCTCGCAGCTGGGGGCAGGGCAGGCAGCGGGCTCGCTCGGGGCAGGGCTGGCTGAGCATCCCCCTCTGCTCCCGGCAGCCATCCTGTTTCCTAGCCCCCCCGGAACACCCCCCTGGCACAGCTGATGGGACAACACCACCCCCATCGCTGTCACCCACCTGCCCTTGGTGCCGATGCAGCAGGGCCTGCCCTTGACCTCGCAGTCCATGTGGGCCAAGCCCGTGTGGTTGGTTTTGGTCTCGTAGGTGCAGATCTAGAAGCAGGAGGGAGAGGAGCTGGGGTCAGGGTCCAGCCCCAGGCTCTCCCCACAGATCCCTGCATGGCTAGTCCCTCACAGGGGCTGCCTCCCAGCCCGTGGTGCCACCCAGCCCGTGGTGCCACCCAGCCCGTGGTGCCACCGGGCTCCTACCGGCCACCTGGTGCTGTCCTCTGGCCACACAC